TTGTGTTTTCTTTCTTCTCTTTTCAGCATGGAATAAACTTATTACATCTTACTAAGGACTAGTTATTTCACTTTTTCTTACATCTATCAGAATACACAGACATACAGGGTTAATGAGATCCTTCTTTGAAACAGGGAAAGAATCCTATTTCATTGTTTCGTAAGAGACATATATCTGGTTCTTTGTGTTGTCTGATTTGTGTCATTGTCTATTCCTCTGCAGTACTGTTGCAGACAGGGTTATAGATAGCAGTTGGCAACAGGCAAGCAGCTGCTTAAACATGTCCCTCCACAAAGAACATTCAGCTCAGCACCTGCAGTCAGCTTACGGGAACACTGTCTATAAACTGTGAAATAGTATCTCTCTTGCAGGCACACATGGCAGTACTCTATTATAAAAGTGTGGTGGTTTGTATGGGGAAGAAGGAAATAAAAATTAAGAAGAGTGAAAAGGAAAACTGGAAAGCAGGTCACCTAAAATTCCAAGAATTCATCCACATATGTTTTGAATTTTCACTTTTCTCTGTATTGCTTGTCACCTGTAGTGCTCTGTAAGCCAGATCAGCATTGGGATTTGGGCCAGAATTGCAGCGTTTTTGGCTGGTGATAAAGGCTGGTGATAATGAAAGGGTCAAGCTAGTGTTAAGGTCTTCAGTGAAAGGTGTTAACACTCTCCTAAACAATAATAGCAGTGTGTCCACATTCCCATTTCAATGTGCAATTCTTTGGTATTGTAGTGCCAAGTATTTTTCTTAACCTCTTTTTTCTTAGGTAAGGAGCAGTATTGTTGATACACAAGTATTATACTAGTATAAATACACTCTACACATAGAAAAAAATTCTCAAAGGCAAAGACAAAGCAATCCAGAGGGTTTCCTTAGAATCAACAGTTTCTTAAGCCAAGCCAGAGGACACATGTGGAAAGGCATGTATTCACTACAACAGGATTTCTTATCTCTGGATTGTGATGACTTGGACATTTTAATTGAGTACTCAGTTTATTAGATTTATATTTAAAAAAACCTCTTAAGATAGAGGATAGGTGTCTTAGATTTATGCAGCTGGGCCTTTGCAGAACTAAGAATCCTTATGATAGGAGTGTTCAACAAATGCACACAAGTGCCCCTTCATCTGTTAAGACTTGTTTGCAATCAAGAGGGCAGCAGCAATGTATTAATTAAATTCAGGGGAAACTGGAGTTTGTTCACTTATTGATTTAAGCAAATATGCTCTTCAGGTGATCCAAGCCTTAGTTAAGCTGAACACTCCTCTGTTTCAGTCCTTGCTCTCCCCCTCTGTCTGGCCATCTCATTCCTATGACAGCTGACAATGTAGAGGAGGCCAACTGGGTAAGGCACTAACCACAGGCTTGGGCTCCCAAAATAACCTTCCCACTGTGGGACAAACGCTCCATCTCCCCGCCCTCTCATAACCAGGTGCTCCCTCCCAGAGAGACAGAGAGAAGAAATTAATACTCAGAAGTCCTTGGCAGCGCTCTAGAAGACACAGTCATGGGGATCCCATTATTGTCTCTGATATTGCTTTTTTGTGCTCCTACAGGTAAGACTGACATTTTTTTTTCCAAATCCTGGCTTAAGAAAAGCTAACCATTGTTATTTTATTTATTAGGTTTCTTCAGGGCAACCTGAACGTCTCCATACTTTATTTACAGTATGTACTGTAATGTTTGAACCAGCTTCACCTTCTAAAATGAAACTAGCCAATTCCTTGTGGAATCAGAAGCTACACCACCTTTATGAGTGTGGTGACAGTGACTTCAATGCAGAACTTCTTTGTCATCCTGTTTTGAAGAAAGTGGGCAAATCTCGATATCATGATGTCATGTACAGTATGTTGCTTTACAATATAGTCTTTTGCTGTGGTATTTCAGTATTCTAGTAATACTCTGCATTGCTTTTGCTTTTTAAATTGCTCTGTAATTTAAAATTGAATGGCTCTATATGAATGAGTATTCTTTTTCTTGAGCAGTTTTGAAATGAATTCTACAGTAAATACCACTACAAGTCCTGTTCGCATTGTCCATCTATAAATGCTTCCTTTTTTGATATTGATGAATCTACATTTGTTTTCATCATCACTTTAGAGCAGAAAAAATGTGTGTATGAAAATCCCATTTTATTAAATTGAGCAAAGCAAGTGAAGGTAGAGAAAACAATTGTGTTATTATGTTTTTCAAAATAAAATTACACCTTGTTTCTTCATATACTGTATAATTTTGGTCAGTTCATACATGGATGCGTGTAATTGCATAACTTAAAGATCACCCAATGTTCGCTTTTATTCGAACAGGATGCAGGCTAACCGATTTATTCAGAGAATGTCTTGCTTCTTTAAATATTCGTACACTCCATGCCCAAGAATATAATTTACTAATTCATTGAATTAATAAAATGCTTATTTCCAAATCCTGTTGAAAGTATTTTGTAAGTTTTATTGATCACTTATTCATCTAAGCGAGTTCACATTTCTAGAGGGTACTTTAAGAATAATTACTTTAAGGGTTTACCGTTCTACGAATCTGTTT